ATAATTTTTTTAGATTGAGGAAAAGGCGTACGCTTCTTGGTTAATAGCTATTGGAAAATATAAGTGCAAATAACGCTATTTGTTCCTCCCATTGTCATAAAGATGATTTAATCGTTTCAAAACGAATAGATACAATAAAAAAATAATGCAATACCTTCCATAAATATGCCTAAAATTGAAGATTTTTATAACATTAGTGTTATGAGGTAAATATATACATACAATTATCAATTTGTTTCTTTTTATACTTTTTAAGAAAGTGATAAAAAATTGTTAATTATCCCTATTATTTTTAGAAATTTACAACCTTCAGCTTGAACGAATATTCAGAATTTAACGAGGAATTATAGATGTTGCCAGTTGGTTATTTTTTATTAACGGTTTAGATGGTAATGAAAGAAGAAATGTGGCATTATAGGCTCTTCTAAAATTGCATGAATATGGAGTTATCATCACCTAATTATCATTTGATGGATAACATTAGGTGTAAACCTATACAACTTTGATATTGACACTGCGACTCCATATTTCTTGCATTCACCATAGATAAAAGTACATTTTTTTATAATTTTAGATGCATGTCACATACTTAATTTTAATTATATAAAATTGTTGCATTATATTTAACAAACAGAAGGTTTACGTTTGGGTAGCAAATTAAGAGTGCCCCATATGGATTGAAGAAAGACATGAAGGTTTGTACACTTAACGAATTTAGAAATTACAAATACTAAGTAACATTACTATTAATTGTATAAGGAAATTTGAGAAACTGTTCTATTTACTAAATTCTCGAAATCTTTTTAGATTTGAATGGAAAATGCCTTTGTCTCAAAAAACGGAGACTATATGGATGTCTGAAATATAAGCTGGAACAGAATGTATAAAGAAACTTAAAACCTTTGACAGCAGTTATGTTATTCAGTGACCAAAGAAGAATAGTGGTGTTCTAGACTTTGTTTTATAAAGTTTGTAATAGGTTTATATGACAAATATGTAAACTGTTAATATATAAACTTAGTACAGATCACTTAGAGCTATTTTTCTGCAGTTTATGGAATAGTATTAGTTTAATTGTATGATGCAATTACATTTTTTTTCTAGGGCTAGGTATGGATGGAACAATAATCCTTTATCTGTAAAAATTTTCCATTCATATAGACTACGATTACTTCTGTACCATGACATTAAGAATCTTAATGGCTATTGTATTCTTTAGGACCCCATCAACATTTTACAAATGACACTAAAAAGTACAACAACAGTGCTTATAGTTTATTACTACTCTTACTAAATATAACTGAGAGAAACTTCAGAAGATTCAAAATTCTTGTATAAGATGTACTTGTAATATTCCTTATAGAAATCATGTTTCTCCGTACATTCGCAGGTTAAATAAATATAAAATTTAGGAAAGCGTAAAATATCTTTTTTTAATGTTTAAAATTCCACGATATCTTACTAAAAGGATCAACTTTACACAATGTAAACTTAAGAGTGAACACTTTTACAACCCCAATGCATAGAACTTCAAAATTCCAAGGTTGTTTTAGATACGTAGCACCATTATTGTTAAATTCAGAACTTAATAATTTGAATTTTAATCATTTTGTTAAGACTTTTAGGCAAGTTCTTATTTCAAGACAATGATTTAATTTAAAATAATTATTTTGTGAACATTTTTTCTGTTATAATGAGGATCAATTGAGACACTAATGTATTTATAGTTGCTCAATAAACATTATTTATTTATTTAAATATAGTCGAAAAATGTACGGTATCTTAAGCCGACGCATCAGGCGTAATAAAGATGAGACGCTTAATTGTATTTGGATGTGAGAGCGATAAAGATAGTAATTGATTTTACCATACCCTTTCGATAGCAAGCATGGGCTGTTGCGGTCCACACTCATTCGTATTATTTTATTTCTCTCTATTCAATGGCATTGTGATCCATACCTTTTTCCTGGAGCCAGGATGGAAAAGTTAAATTATTGTATTGTATTATACAGAATGTAATTAAGTTGTTAGATATTTCAGAAAACATTGTTTATATTGCAAAAAAAATGATAAAATATTCTGCTGGCCAAGATACACTTTCTAGCGCAACAGCTAATAAAAATGATTGAAAATTATTTTTTAGGACAAAATAGGGTAATATAAAACAGTTTCGGCTGTAAGTACTAGTGTAAAACAGTCGAATTATCTTAAAAAAAAGTATTTTTAATCACATAATCAATTACCTGCTAAAAAATGTTCATTTTCAATTAGTTTAAAATAAAAACTTGTTTCGAGAAATCAATAATTATAATTATCTAATGAGTATCTACCCTTATAGGAAAATCACATATCAAGATTAATAAAAACATTAAAGACATTGTTCAAACCCCAATGAAAATTTAAAAAACTCTTTGTATTTTTTGTTCCTCATTAACTTTTATTAAATAGCTTTTTTTTATTTATAATTTATTAGTGCCATTTTCTAATGTAATATAAATGTTTTATGTTTAATAACCCAATATTAACATATAGTTACTGTAGTATTTATTACACAAGATAAAAAAGTAAAACCCTTTGCACTTGGCAAAATCGAAGCTTTGTTACTACTTATTCTCTCACAACCTCCGTCTATGTAAGCGGGTGAATTTACCGCCTTTTCAGATTCCTTTAGTGACCGAAATCGAGAATGTCTATTTCTTGCTGATGAGTCCTAATAAAAACAAAACCGGTTCAAAAATAACGTTATCTATGGTAAGCAAGAACAAAGTTTGAATATTGAAATATGAATTTTTTAACTTTGTTGTTTTCTTTGGATATAATTCAATGTCTGCTGCGGAATTAGCCAAAGAAGTAGTTGTTTTTTGAAGGAAAACGTTAAAGTTTGGATTTATTTCCCTTTTTTAATAAAATATTTGACTACATGCTTCTTTTAATACCTAGTTTTAAATTTACTCTATTCATTAGTAGGAATATGCCCATAATCTCTTATTTATTTTGATTGATGATTCTTAATGTATGCTCAAGTGCATGTCATAGTATTGTGGAACGATATTACAAATATTTTTAAATTCCTTAGTTTTGTAGTTTTTATATAAAATGAAATACTTTAAAGATCTGAGCAATCCCCATGTAATAATTACATACAAAATTACAGTTTTTAATATGAAAGTTTTGTTTAAATCACGTGATTCCAGATTTATTTGCTACAAAATGTATGACGGCCTTAGATTGTTGTACTAATTTCATATAAAATTGTATTTTAAATATATTCTATGTTTTTATTTAATTTAAAATAAAGTTTCAAAAAAGACTATGATGTTTTTTATTTTTATATTTTTAGAAATCTCTTAAAATCCACAAAAAAAGAAAATTAAAATTCTATTACGAGTTTTTAAGGTTATTAGTTCTACTGTGTAAGTAAATCCTTAATATTTTCGAATTATGTTTAAATGTGTTAGTCCTATCCTGTACACTTCAATATTCAATCAATGCGCAAGTGCGTAGGTCGCTTTTTTTGTAAAGATGGCCGCCTTCAATTCTACGTGCCTGATGAAAATGACATTTCCTATCTCCTTTATCGATGTCTGTGATTCAAACAGCAGGAGTGCGTTTAGAAACCCCGCACGGCGCGTCTGGCCACATGCATTAGAATAGGGTCCAGACGCGCCGTGCGGGGTTTCTAAACGCACTCCAGTCTTCTGCGCATCCTGAATTTGTATCCCTGGAGTGGATGTTATTTTGGAACATCCAATTGGTCCGAGTGAGCGAACTGATTCTTTTAAGCTATAAACTGTGTTTAAGGTGAATGAATGACATTTCAACTAACATCAAGCTAAAAACAATAATTTTATTAGTCTCAATTTTATTTATTAATTTACATTTTTTAAATGTTATTGTAATACTCTTAAATTCAGTGTTACTAAATACCGATATTTTGACATCATAAACGTTGGATGCACTTGCTTAAGGTACAAATTTATAATTTATTGTCACTTAGCCATCTAAATATTTTTTCTCAAAATTTATTTACATGTTCAGATTTTAATAATTTTTCACATTTTATATCATTTACACGATTGTTTGTGAAGGGCCGGTATCTATATTTCATATTTAAATAAATATTCTTTATTTACTTGCAATGTTTACCCCATTTAATTATAAAATTAAATACTAGAGAGGGCTAACTTCGGCCTCTATATTTCACGCACGGTCCTTATACAAACAATAATGGTAATGAATAGAAATGTGTGACATTTCGATTAATTAGGCATTCCAAGGACCTGTCCAAATGGCTACCAGTGGGTAATGACAGTTTAGATATGGCAACCCTGTTGTCATGTTGTCATTAACAGGGTCAATGATACATATATAGTTATATAGATTGCTCAAAGCTGGTCGTTTACGAGCGGCCATATTGCCTGGCAAATATTTATTAATTTGAATCGGTTTAGAAAAAAATGTGTTTTAAAACTAATTTTTAGCCTTTAGACATTAAAAAAAAATAATTGCTTACATTTTTACTTCAAGGCATAAGCTTATGTTTATTTTGAAAAATATGGATGATTAATCTATGTAACTATATATTTCACTGACCTTGTCAAATCACCAGGCCTACAGGGTTGCCATAATTTTGCTATAACATAACCCGTCGAAACCCACAGGTAGCCATTCAGTTTGGAATGCCTAATTGCAGTAAATTTCATCTAAAAATTCGGATCGAGATTACTTTGACTTTCGTAACCATGGGAACGTCATAATTGTCATGTAATAGTTTTGAAGTTTGAACTGATGTTCGGTAATTTAATGACTCATTTTAGATAAATCACGAACTTGAAAGTGTTAGTGACACTTCATCTGAGAAAGAAAATGAAGCTAACACTACAATTTCAAATATGTTACCGAGTAAAGTAGAAACTATTGTATGAGAAAATATAAAATGGTTGATATGAAATCATCTAAAATCGAAATAAGTTTTTGAGTATAAATTAACTGATACTTACCACATAATTTACAAACATAACTATGCCTCCAGATATATTGGTAACTCAAGTAAACTCCTCTATAATATTGGTCTTCCGCAGCAATAATGAAGAGGTATATTCCCATGAGAAGATCAGACAGAGCTAAATTTCTAAGATATAGGGAATGAACGACATTCGTAGTGGGAGCGAATCGTCGACAAAGAAGAACTATAAGATTTCCTGTACATCCTATTGCTCCCATTAACCATACACTGAAAAAAGGTCTGCAGTTTTTGATAAACAATGAAATGATGATACAACAACAATAACATTGTTGTAATTGTAATTACTGATATATAAAAACATAAAATCTTTAAAATGCATTAATTAATTTAAACCTCTAAGGACGGAATTGTTTTTTTCTATGTACGTGTGCCTGCCGGAATTAATTCTATAATATTACATACTTCTATATGTCTAATGTCGCTGATATGCGATACCTAATTTACAATTTTACTTAGGTAATTGCGATGTTACCAATTTTTAACTTTTACTCTTGTGCATAACCTAATGACGCTTATACGCACGAGATCATTGTCTTCTGTAAAGCACGTGACTGGTGCTGTTAAAATAGTAAACTATAGTAAGACTAAAGAGGGTATCCTGATAATGTTTTACCACTGTCGCTTATAAGCGAGGCTCGGCAATTTTACATGATTAGGATATGTTGCATATAAGCGACGTCCGTCCTTAGAGGGTTAAAAGTTCAAACACTCAGTATTTCAAATTTAAATTATTAACAACACATACTTTGATTTTCTTTTACTATATGGAGAATGGTCGCACTGCGCAGCTTTCTGAGTGCCTTTTAAAAGGCGATAGAAAACTCCGCCATTTTGATCCCTTATTACGTGTTGCCTACATCTTGGCGCAATATTTTTAATAGGTGCGTTTTAATAATCCGCTTCTGCTTGGGAATTGTCGGTTTTCTTGTTTTAATCTAACAGGTTAAAACGACTAAACCGACAATTCCGGAAGCAGAAGCGGATGATTAAAACGCACAAGATATTTTGCTTGCTGCTGTCAGTGTCAGTGAATTTTTTTTATTATTACACACACACATAATTCGACCAGATCTGGCAACTCCGACAAATATTGGCAGCTTGATGTGCGCGATCAACAGGACAACATGATGCATTGGGCGTTTTCACACTGGGCCACAGTGTATCCACTCTTACCGTCAAGGTCAATGCGTGTTAAGTTTCATACCCCCGCCGTCGTGAGGTCGCCACCGTCACCGTTTATAGGACACGCTTGTGCAGCGTTGCCAATAGGCAATAATTTTACCCGATTTTTGGGTATTCTTAATTAACTAATGAACTTTTATGAATTTATTTATAATTTATTAATGCAAGATTATAGCGTTTTTGCCGTTTTTCATTTAGTAGTATATACTATTGCTGAAAAGTCATGTTTTAAAATATTTTCATCGTCACTATTGCATTTATTGGTGACTTCAGGCGTTCGGGGTAAGTGATGAGAATTATCATCATTTGACCGTGACAACACTGCCTACTTTGTGTACTTGATACCTACATAACCACAAATATTTCTTATTTATTATTTTTATGAATGTTGTGAGTGATTTGTTTGTTTTTGAACTGATTGTTAAATAATAAAATGGAAATAAAACAGAAAGACAATAGTGAAATGGAAATAAAGCACAAAATTAATACCACAGCATAAAGTTTATTTAATAGGCAGTGTCGCGATTAGTTTCGGCCTTACATTGGTCAGTGACCACATGGAGGAAGGATTAATGTGATCACATTACATTTGAGATAATGGATGAACTTTCAGTCATGATTGTAAAGTGTAAGTGTTCCCGGTTCCAGGTTTACATTATTTTAATGGTAAAATACGTCTTCTTGCTAACACAAGATACCTATAATATAAGAAAGAAAAACAATTGAATCTTTTTTATTTTATCTTAATATTTTGCATGTACCTATTATTATTGCCTTATTTTTAGTTTTAGTTAAAATAATACCCGAAATTTACATTTTATAAATAAATCGTTATAAATATAATAAATGGTTTCATTTCATAAAAAAATGTAGCACCAAAACATGATTAAACCATTATAGTTACGATTTGTTTGCTTATTGTAATCAAATCTCAACTTTAATGGCACACATAATAACCACGTTCAAAGCGTGCTTCCAAAAAATTATTCAGACATTCAAAAATTGCCGCCATCGTTTAGTTTAAACCCCCACCACTGTGAGGGCGCTGAAATCAGCTACGAAAATTATACATTGAGTGTACTGTCTATAAACAATATATAAAAGGTCTGTGCACTGGGCCACACGGCAACGACACGGCAATGATGCCGACACAATATGCGACAGGAGATTTACACATTCAACGACACGGCACATGCAGTTGTGTGTCGTTCATTATGGCGGGTAGCAACAAATTATATTTACACTATTTATTATATTTTAGGCGCAGGAAACGATATAAGCAAAGGCATTTATGGGTACATCCGATTATTAAAGTGAGATATTTAGAGGGTACCTAATATACTCTGTTTGAGAAGTTGGCTAATGACTCAAATAAGTTTTTTAATTATTTTCGTATGAGCAAAAATACATTTGACTATATATTGGAGAAAATAATATGATCAAAAAGCAAGACAATGGATTTAGAATGAGCATACCACCTGAATAAATGCTGGCAGTAACAATAAGGTAAGAAATAGTTCCTCATATCCATCATCCAAATACTGATATATTTCCTGCCAACTTTTATCACGAAGTATTTTGTTTTTATTATTTTCATGGATTTTGAAACTGGCCATTTTTCCGCCCAAATTTGTACAACAACACCGATCATTTCCCACACCTCACAAAAATGCTTGTCGTTTCTTGCAACGACAGCGACAAGTTGTGAAAGCGTTCCTATTAATTACATGAGATAAGGCGTGCACCGACACCGTTGTCGTTGACGTGTCGTTGCCGTGTCGTCCAGTGTGAAAACGCCCTTTATTTGAAGATTTGTGTTCGGCGAGTATCGGCTAACACCGGCCGATATAAGAGAAGCGCCTCTTGGCGACATTCTCAACTAGATTAAATATGTAAGGTGGCTCACGAACTAGGAGGTGCATATCATCTTAGGAGGATGCACAATGGGCCTAGTGAGACCTAAATGCCGTATGGTAACCCAATCTCCACACATTACAGATACAGAAGGCTTACTTCAGAAACACTTTTAGTAAATCACTACATAGGATCATGAAAACTATAATGGAGACAAAAAAAAAGCTGCAGATGAAATTGGCTTAGAAAAATGTGATGTAAGATTAAAAAAACGAGAAAAATAAAAAGATATTTTTATTGTTTCTTTAAAAAAAGGCAGTTAATTGTCTGTAAAAATAATTAACTACAATCATTTGATTTGTCACTCTTTTAATTATGGTCATGACATTTACAAGAGATTTAAAGGGACACAAAAAGCAGAGGATTTTGACTGAAGAAGGATATCCAACTCCTGATTTTGTGTTAATTTGGTATTATCTATTTTACTTTTTTTGTTTATTTACCTCAATGTTTTATGTGAAGTACCTTCACATACGAGTAAAACGTACTAATATCTCGTATTTCATATTTCATTGTAATGAGGTTTATTTTATATTTGATCTAAAATCGGTTTCTTTTAAATACTAAATATTCAATTGTTGAAAACTTACCATGTTCTAAGAATAGGATTGGCCAGCATATGTTTTTGATCAGAAATGCCGTCACCTTTTGGATAGCAATTTCTAACATGTTGTGCCGAAGAACACATCTCAAACCGATCAAAATATCTGAAAAATAAAAATAAATATTATAATACTTTTCTCACGATCTGTAATTTGTTTTTTGGTAGTATTTTTATCCATAGTTTGTTCTAAATTAAACCAGTTACATTTTAGTAGTGTTTTTACTCAATCCAGATTGGATTTAAAATATTTAATTCATTGCCATAGTAACGTTATAAATGATTTATGTGAAACGTCAAAATGAAGTTTGTCAAAAATTTAGTTCTTAAAATATACATTTTAAATACAGAATCGGCTTCATTTTATGGAAATAAAGCAAAAAATGTTGTTTATAAAAGTTCTTTATATTGTTAAATAATCTTTCCAAATACCACACGAGGTCAGATTTTATTTTGAGAATTTTGTTTCCTTACAAATTATGCAAATTTCACTTAACAAAATAAAATTAGAAGAAACAACAAAATTTTCTCACCTCTTGTAGTAATCAAAATTAATCGACCTAACGCATTCACATCTACTTGTTTAGGTACATATAGTGTAGGCCAGAATTATTTGACGTTGTTTCTCAATTAGTTTTCAGTATTACCGTTATACCTATATACGAGTACAGGTTGTTCCAAATTCAAAAATTAATAATAGCTGTAATTTTTTTATTATTCAGTATTGTTTAAATAAACTTCTAAATTTGGGTACAAAAACTTATTTGGACTCTAATTTTAAATTTTTCGATGTTTTTTACATAAATTATGTACTCTTGTTGGAAACTTATAAAGTGATTGGTTTTCGAGATATTCGCAAGAAAAGGTGGATATTTTTTATTTTAATTTATTTTGAATTTCTAAAAATTCGCAACATCAGTACATAATTTGCTTAAGAAAATATTTTAAATTATAGTCCAAATAAGTTTTTGGCATTAAATTTAGAAAGAATGTTTCTTATCCATTCTGTTCGCTACTGGAGAAGTTTATTTAACTTATTTTTTACTGATAAGTGTATCTTATAACATCAAAAACATGTGCCAAATTTAGTAAAATTATACTGAACAATACAAAATTATACTTTTAATTTTTTTTCGAATTTTCAACTTTAGCACCTTGTATTTCGAAAACGAGTAACATTTTATTTAAGCGTGTTTCGTTTAGACGTCATATTTTTAATCAGATAATGTTCCATTCTCAATGGGACACCTGTATATTCACAAAGAATAAAGAATGCGGCATAGAAGCCGCAAAGCGAACGTTGAAAAACATACTTGTCAAATTACAAAAATAAAATGTAGTGCAAAGGGGGGAATGGTGGCCGCCTAAGCATTTTTGTTTATATTTAGATTTCAAATTGTATTTACGAAAAATTTAAAGACAACTGCAGGTGGCCATATTTACCCGCGGTCCAGGGGTAAAAGTGGCCACTGCCAGTATTACTACCATTTAAAAATAATTAATTACAAAAATCACAAATGTACATTTCCTTCGAAACTGGTGCAGTCTTTGTGTGTGCATAGGCGAAAAATGTTACATTGAATCCACAGTTTTCCATTTTTGCAAAATTTGCCACAAATTGTGCATGTATCTTCATAAACGTCGCTATCACGATCATCGTTATCTTCATGATCATCTTCATCTTCAGTTAATGAATCTTCGGTGTTCTTAATCAATTTCTTTATGGGTACTATTTGAGGCGAACTGA